GCTCAAGTCCGGCCTGGAAAATTCAGCAAGACTGTCAAAGTAAGCTAAGATAAACAGCTGAGGTGCAGCTCAGTGATGGAGCACTTGCGTAGCATGTGCAAGGCTCTTGGTTTGATCACCAGCATTGAAGGGAAAAGGAGAGAAGGGGTGAAGAATAGCCTAAACTTAGCTATTTTTGTATTTTGTTTTATTTTGTTTTACATTTTGAGACAGGGTCTTGGTGTCGTCCAGGCTGGCCTTGAACTCATGTCAACCGTCTTGTCTTGGCCTCCCAAATACTGAGATTACAGGTACGTGGCACCATAACTGACTAGACTTGTTGTTTCTTAAAACTCAGGAACTTCCAGGGTAAACTGACTCCCAAGAGAGTGGCATTAATCCATCCATAAGAGCAGACTTCCCATATTCTAAGTATTCTTTAAAGGCCCCACCTCTTAGTACTGTTATAAAAGAACATTTTTTTTTTGCTCAATTTTTTTGTTATTAGTACAAGTTTGCAGTACCTAATGATTACATTCTCTGGGAGGCCTGCCCATTAGCTCAGTTGTTTAAGTACCTGCTGAAACAAAGCAGTCGGGTTCAGGATGCTGTGATTCGAGCCGCTCATCCTCAAGCCAAACCAGACCTGCCCTGAAGGAATCCTGAGCAGCTCCCCACCAAAAAAAATGTGAAGCTCTTTTAGGGGCTGGGGAAATGGCTCAGTAGAATAAGTGCTTGCCTGGCAAGCACAAGGGCCTGAGTTCAATCCCCGGTTCTGAAAAAAAAAAAAAATTCTGGTACATAATATATCTTAATTCTTTGTTCACCCCCTTTCCCCCTATAAGTCTTGGTCCCCTTCCCTGGTGTAAAAGATTCTATTTCCCTATGTTCTATTATTTTCTTTTATTTAATGACAAATACATTTCAATATGAATTTTGATTACACATTCAAACTCTAGCACAAGCCAATGATTTTTATGAAAAGGAACAGCTGTGCAAATACCACCACAAGCCAGATTTAGAATCCAGATTCCTTTACCTTTAGGGACCTATGGGGCTTCATCTCAGTCAGTCTCGTCCCTCACGTCTGGCCCTGGGAACTGCTTGCCTGCATTCTGCCCCCACAGATTCGCTTTCTCTGGATACTTCATGTGGATGGACTTGCCCAAAACTTGGTCTTCTCTTCTGGCTTCTTTAACTTGGTATTTCCAGCTTTGCTTCTAGAGCCCTGTCGTCACGGTATCTGCGGTGTGGGTGCCCCCATCATCATTTATATAAATGCTCTATGGAGATTTCCATCATCTCTAAGCTTAGGCTTTTACAAATAACACTATGAAAAATATTCTGTGGCCATGCAGCCACCTGTGTGGGCATTTCTGAAGGGTGGATGTCTTGGATCAGAGATTGCACATGAAGTAGGTAGAGAATTATCTTCTAGAAAGATGTTACCTGTTCACTCTTCTGGCAGGCAGGGAGGGCAGCATCTTCTGATCTGATGCGTGGATTTCCCAAACTATAGGATGTAAAACCTGGGCTCAATTCCTTGCATTACTGCAACAATGAAATAAGCCAAGTTGTCCTTTGTCTTTCTGATTACTTTCTTTATGTTGTTTTCTCTTTATTTTAATGACTCATAACAATCATTTTAGCAATTACAGACAATTTATACCTATAGGCTACAGAATGTGACAATACATGGGGCTGGGGAGATGGATCAGTAGAATAAGCACTTGCCTGGCAAGCGTAGGGTCCTGAGTTCAATCCCCAGCACCAAAAAATAAACAAACAAACAAACAAACAAACAAACAAAAGAAAAAAAGAATGTGACAATACAGAGAACCCCAGGGCCTGTCATATAGATTAAGAGAGGACATTATCAGCAATCCTTCCCCATGTTCAGGAAATGGTGCCAGGATGTGTGTTTCCCTTTTCTTCAGTGTTTGTTCCCATATCTGTGTGGACTACTTATACCAAGTCAACTCAGTTGAGATGGAACTATTTCTCTTAATTCTCTTCCTCAATGTCCAGGTGGGTACAGGCCACTAGGGTCACTGTTATAACGAGTTGGAAAGGGGAAGTGGCAGTCATGCTTGTCAGGCTTTGTGATGTCCCTGTGAAGCACCTGCCACCATCGCGTGTTGTCAGCTAACTGGGTCCCCACACCCAAGGTGTGCATTTCCTTCGAGCTGCAGGGTCCCAGCCCCTGCCGGCCATTCTTACCCTGAATTTGGACCCACACAGGTTTTAGTGCAGCCCCAGGGCTGTAGCTTGATGCGCACCCCCCACCCCTTCATGTCCCTCACTCCTCCATGAGGAGGTCTCAGGTTCCACACCGAAGCAAAGCCAATAGCCTGACACAGACTGTCTCAGCAGCTCCCACAGTGGTGTGGGGCAGAATTCCTGTCACAGACCCCTCTTCCTCGAGGAAGGGTTGAACCCTGACTTAACAGATGTGCCTTCCAGAGAGAAGTTGAATTTGCTTGTCTATGAATTTTGTGTTTTGCTTGGAAGTTTCTTTAAGTGTCTGCCTGTCAGTTCAGAGCAGGAGAAGCAGTCTAAGCCTGCTGCCACATCGGCGTCCCTAAACCTCAGCTGGTCCTTACCCCTATCGGGACAGTAGAAGCCCAATGCCTTCTGCTCCAGGTACCAATGAGTCTAGAAGCAAAAAAAGTGGACAAGTCCTAACCAAATGAGTGCAGTATATAATTTCCCACCCATCCTGTCCAGTGCCTGAAATGCCAGTCACAAAAGTCAAAGAACTGATAAAAAAAAAACAAAAAAACAAAAAAACAACTGGGGATTTTTAATACTTTCAGCTTTACCACTCTGTAGCCATGAGGTTTTCCTCAGGCCTCAGCTTCCTCCCTTACTTATTGAGAGCATTGGACTGGGCATCTTCAGGCCTCTTGAGTGCTATGCGTGGTGGTAGGATTCACCTGCAGTCTGTATGCCCTGAATTTGAATGTGACAGGTAAACTAGGGAGTGCTTCTCAATGAATGTCCCCCTCAAATAGGCTACTGTTGGTCTGGTTTACAGAAGTCGTCCTGCAGAGACTGAAGATTGTGGCAGAGGAGGCATCAGAAACCCAGGAAAAAGGATGAAAGTTTGGGCAGTGTTAGTGTAAATAGAACAAATCTTGGAAACAAGAAGGGTAAGCAGAGAGCAGGCAGATCTGGCAGAGAACATGGGGCTGGGATATGGGTGTGGAATGTGACAGGGAAGCAGGAAGCAGGGACTCATAGGCTGCTTGGGTTAGTCCTGATCTGGTGCTGAAAATGTCAGAGGGAGGTGGGGTGGGGGAGGGGAAAGAGAGGGGGAGGGTGGGGGAGGGGAGGGGAGAGAGGGGAAGGAAGGGGAGTGGTGGGGAGAGGCAAGGATGGGGAGGGGTGGGGGAGGAGAGAGGGGGTAAAAGTGGGGAAGGGGAGATGAGGAAGGATGGGGGAGGAGAGGGGGGTAACAGTGGGGGAGGGGAGACAGGGAAAATGGGGAGGGGAAGGGGGAAGGATGGGGAGGGTTGAGGGAGGAGAGGGGGGAAAGAGTAGGGGAGGGGAGAGGGGGAAGAATGAGGAGGGGAAAGGGAGGGGAGAAAAGGGGAAGGATGGAGGAGAGGGAGAGAAAGGCACACATGGGGGGAAGAGAGAGAGAGAGAGAGAGAGAGAGAGAGAGAGAGAGAGAAGTTTGCTTAAATCCAGTTTGTCTCAGCCTTGTTGGTTCCAGGCTCACCAGAGCTTCTTTTGCTCCTTGAAGAACCTTCATTTCCTCGAGGCCTCGTTAGAGGAACAAAGAACAGAGTCCTGGAATAGGAGTCAAGTGCATTTGACCTCCTCCCTCCCAGGTCACCCAGGGAGCCACCTGGCTGGTAGGTTGGTGGCCTCACCCAGGCAGAACCACACTGGTTCTTCTGGCCTCTCCAGTGTGTTTGGTAAGTGCTTGTCCCACTGCATTTTCCCTTTGCTGAATCAGAGAAGTAACTGAGTCACGCTTGCTCCTGAATTTAGCGAAGTCCCTGGTGGAGAATGAACATGGAGCAAGGGCTGGTTGGCACTGGATGAGTCCTGCTTGCTGAACGCAATGGGAAAAGTACTTCCCCAAGCGGTGAGTGGGTGTCCACTACCCTTGAGTAGGGGCAGGATTTCTCCGGCCTCCATATTGGCTCCTTGCCTCCTGTCAAGATTGGGTTGGTTTGGTATCTGGGGGTGTTCTATCCCTTTTGCTTTCTTACTCCCTTAACAAAGTGCTCCCTCCCCAGCTCCGAGAGCATGAGCTGGCCAGGGCAGGGCTCTCCATTTTGGGTGCTGCTATGTTCCCAGCCTGCTGGGACAGCTGGCCCTTCATACATACTGAAGGAATGATTCAAGTCCCTTGTTTCCTCTGGGTGACAGATTATACATCATTTCCCATTCTGCACTACTGCTGTCTTGTTACACTCTGGATGATGGACATGTGTGTGCTGGAAAGGAGAGAGCACAGGGTGAGGGACAGTGGGTGCTGCTCTCTGAGGTTAGGAGAGCTTCCTGCCCTCTGGGTTTCCAAGCAGGCTGACTGGGTGACCTGCCTGGCCTTCTGCCTCTCCTAAACCTGTCTGGGATGCTCCTGACTACTGGCTGACCCATGGTCCTGAGGAGCTCCGCTGGGCCTCCACACAAGTTCTCCCCATGATCTTCGCTCAGCAGTGGGGGCCTGGGGGGAACAGCATGAGCAACACAAAGGCGGGTCCCCGCCTTCACCCCAGCCTCTCTCTGTGGACCCAGGAACTAGCAAAAGAACGTATATCTTGAAAGACCTTCACAGTAGGACCTCTTCTCACCCTAGCTCACCTCTAAGGACCTCTTGGCGTGTTTTTGGTGGGAGTAATGAAATAAATACCCAACTAAAAGTGGTTTATTGAAAAAAGGATGTTTAATGATATTGCTTTACAAGAAATTGTAAGTAGGTGGCTAAGGTGTCTTTTGGAGCTCAGACTTTTTAAAATTGAGGTTAAATATACATAAACATTTACTTTTCTTTCTTCTCTTTTCTTTTCTTTTTTTTGAGGTGCTGGGGATAGAATCCGGGGCCTCACAAATGCTTCTCTACCACTGAGCTATAGCCCCAGTCCCCTTTTTACCTTTTAAGTGTACAATTTAGGGGCATCTACCACTCTCACATTATTGTACAACTCCCACACTGTCTACTTTCAGAACTTTTCCATTACTCTGAACTGAAATTCTGCATGCGTTAAGCAGTGGCTCTCCATCCTCCCCTCCCCCAGCTTCAGATAACCATTGTTCTCTTTTGTGTCTGGGAATTTGACTACTTGAGGCACTCTGTGTAAGTGGGATCACACAGGGTTGTCCTTCTGCAGCCAGCTTATTTCACTTAGGAAAATGTCTTCAAGGTTCATCCATAATGTACCAATCTTTTCTTCTTATGACCAAATAATATTCCATTGTGGGTGTACATCACATTTCATTTATCCATTTATTCATCAATGAACTTTCAGATTATTTCCACCTTTATTGTTGTAAGTGATGCTGTGGTGCAACAATATTTGCCCAAGTCCTCTAGAAGTGCAATGGTGGCATCAGGTGGTCATTCTGTGCTTGCCATTTTGAGGAAAACTGCCTTGTTATGTCTCATGGCGGCTCTACCATCTATCTACTTCCTCCAGCTCTGTGGGAGAAACCCACCAGTTTTTCCACATCCTTGCTAACAATTGCTATTTTCTCTTTAATTTTCTTCTTTCTGATAATAGCTTTTTCTGGTGGGTATGACATGACATCTCACTGTGTTTTTTATTTGCACGTCTTAGAAAATAGACTGTGTTGGGCTTAGCAATAGGAGGCCCAGCTCTATGAACTGGTGTAGTGACCACCGACAGGGGTGGAGTGCCGTGTAGTAAGTTTGGTGAAGATGAGCCTTCTGCTTCTTCCTGTAACCACAACGGAGAGGCTGCATCACCATGCACATCATAAACAGCCAGTGGACATGAGGCTTGGAATAAGATGCTACAGGAAAGAGGGGCCCTGAGGCACTGCAACCTGGGCAAACCATCTCAGAGGGTGGTGGATGTGTTCCCTGATGAAGAGCCAACAAAGGAAGGCCGGGCCTCCTTGGGCAAGTACTCTTTGCTGACCAGGCCATAAGTGACTATGATTTTGAGGAGCCCATGGCGAAACTTTTGGCCAATGAAGGCATAGATGAGAGGGTTGAGGCAGCTGTGAAGGAAGCCCATGATCTCGGTGGCCTCCAGAGCTGAGTTGATGTGACTGCGGCGCTCACACGTCTCCTCGATCCATTGGTTCCTCATAAGGGTGTCTGAGAGCAGGACCAGGTTGTAGGGAAGCCAGCAGAGTAGGAAGACAAGCACAACAGCGAAGATGACCCTCATGGCCCGGTGCTTCTGTCCCATGTGGGCCTTAAACAGCGTGCGCAGTGTGAAGCCATAGCAGAACAGCATGATCAGCAGCGGCAGGATGAAGCCGCAGATCTGGGGCAGGGGCCGGAGCACCAGGCGCAATTTGGTTGTGTTGCTGCCCATGTCTTCATAGCAGACTGGGGTGAAGTCATGCAGATAGACAACACTGCGGAAAAGTAACATGGGCAGGGACAGAATCAGAGACAGTCCCCACACTGCCAGGCACACAAACTTGACCAGGTGCCGCTTCTGGATTAGAGTGCGTGTGGCGTGGACAATGGCCAGGTAGCGGTCTACGCTGATACAGGCCAGGAGCAGGATACTGCTGTAGAAGTTGACTTCCTTCAGGAATGAGATTGTCTTGCACATGAATATGCCAAAAGTCCAGCTGTGTATCTTGGAGGCAGCCCAGAAGGGCAAAGTCAGGGCAAAGAGCAGGTCAGCGATGGCCAGGTTCAGCAGGTAGACATCAGTGACAGAGGAGGTGCTCCTGTTGTACAAGACCACCAGCATCACCAGGGAGTTTCCCAGAAGACTCAGCACAGACACCAGGGCATAGATTATGACTACAACATAACTATTGATACCGAGGGGCTCTTCATTGCATGGAGCAGAGTCTGATGGAATGTGGGACAGATCAGTGCTGTAATGACCAAAATCACCAGTAAAGTTGTAATCGAAGAAAAAGTCTTCCATTTTTGGGTAAACTTAAATCTTGCCTAAAGAGGAAACATGAGGGTTACTACACAGTAAAATCATCCTTCATTATCACCCACCGGGATTCTTTGCATTTGTGTACCTATTACATGGAATTAATTTTTACTTCTAATTTGGAAGGGATAGAAGCAGTAAGATTATGAGACAAAATAGTATATTTTGTGAAAAGGCTATTTTCTTCAATATTAAAGAGAAATTGTCATCATTTTATGTGATGTCACAATCACCCAAAATATTGGTGAAACTAACTTCCTTCCTTTCTTCCTTCCTTCCTTCCTCCCACCTCCCACCCTCTTTCCCTTCCTCTTTTTTCTTATTTATAAGGATTGAACCCAGGACCTTTAAACTGAGCTACATTCCCAGCTTTTTAATTTTTTTTAAATTTTGAGACAGGGTCTCATTAAGTAACTAAGGTGTCCAGGTTAGGTTTGAACTCACAATCTACCCTCCTCAGCCTCTCAAAATGTAATGAGGATGTGGAGAAATTGGAATACTCATTACTGATGGGAATGCAAAATAGTGTGACACTGGAAGACAGGTTAGCCTTTGCTCAAAAAGTTAATCCATGTCACCCAGCCATTCCTGTCCTAGGTCTGCATGCACAAGAGAATTGACAGTGTATGTTCACATAAAAAATTTATGCACCAGTGTTTGTTCCAGTACTTATCATAATAGTAAAAAATAGTAGAACAAACTAAATGTTCATCAACTGATGAGCAGATAACTTGAGGTCTATGCACCCAATGATCCAATGAAATATATTCATTCACCTCTAAGAAAAGCTAAACCACCACATAAATAAATCTTGAAAGCATTATTATGTGAAATGACCAGAATAGGAAAATTAGTAGAGAAAGAAAGTAGATTAGTGCTTGCCAGGGGCTAGAGGGAAAGAGGGGTGTTTTAATGAATACAGGATTTCTCTCTGGGGTGATGAATGCATTCTGGAATTAGTGGCAGGTGTTACATAGTCTGCTAAAATATCACTGAATTGCACACTTTATGTAAGTTTTATGGTGTGTGAATTATATCTCAATTAAAAAAGAATAACCAAAGGACACATAGCATTGCAGAGAAAGTGAGAATATTAAAACAACAACAACAGCAGCAGCAGCAGCAGCAGCAGCAGCAGCAGCAGCAGCAGCAGCAGCAGCAGCAGCAGAAGTCCTTGGAAGTTTTTCTCTTCAGTAGCTGGTAGGCTCTGGTGCTGTCTACTCTATGTAGCAAAAGGAAAACTGAGTAGATCTAAGCGAAACAAAAAAAATAATGCCCTTTAACCTGTAAGAGTGATGAAATCCAACCTTCACTTTCCTGAGAAGGTTTTACTTTCCCCATGAGTGATGGGGCCCAGATAAATTATCTTCTCACCACACTGTGACCACAGAGAGTGAAGATTTGATCAGTGGTGAACCCAGAAGGATGTGAGGAGGAGGGTGGGGCCCGGCTGGCCAGGAGGATGGGAGGCTGAGGGACAGGCAGATAGTGTAGCTGGCTGGGCCAGTGTGATTGGCTCAGTCTCACAGGCATGAGCAAGTTTTCTCCAAGACCCAAGGTTTTGTCTAGTGAAGTCATGAGATCCAAGATGGGTCACCTCTAAAAGCAGATGATTGGTGATGCTTATAATGGAACAGATGGCCCAAGAAAAGACTCAGTTTTCAGAGTGGGTGTAAGGCCTGGGGACAGGGGGCTTAGAGAGCGGACATCCAGTTGTGGCATCAGCCCCGAGCAGCAGGGCTGGGATGGCTGCGCAGAGTGTGTCCTCAGGTAAGTCCTGGGCTTGGAAGGGCGAGGGGGTCTGACTACAGGCATCTGGTGAGCTCATGCTTCTAGGCCTCCAGGGTCAGCTTGAGATTCCTGGGGGAGACCCTAAAGTCAGAATGTAAGGTCAGAAATTCAAAAGACAAACCAGGGCCGGACCACAGCCTCTAGCCTGGGGATGGGAGAGGATGCCAGTTGCCGCTATTGATTTGTGTTTTAATTTACTATTCTCTGGATGCAGTGAGTTGGAGGCTCAGGGGCAAAATAGAGGAAGGAGGACTGCACACATGAGGTCTACTTTGTACCTCATTAGTACATAATCACCTCCTGTCCTTACAGAGAGCTGTGATCAGCCCCAGTCTGTAGGTGACAAGACCATAGCACAGAGAGGCTCAGTCACCAGACCTCAATCCCAGAAGCTGTCATAGAGCAGCTGTCACTCAGGGAAAACCCAAGAAAAAACTCTAGCTCTGCTTGTTTTCAGTTTATCTTTAATCTTTACAGGGAGGCAGGGCTCTTGTAGCTGGGAAGGGGACCTAGGACTGGTAGGGAAGGGGAAGTAAAATGGACTAATATTTGACAGGTACATCAACCAGCCCACGATAAATATGTTCTTGTGTATCACAAACATGCGCTAATAAAAACGAGAACAAAAACATAGAAATCACTAGCTTTAGAGAGGTGATACAGCTAAGCAATGTGCTGTTTGTCTCCCACTAGTGCTGCTGTAGGTGACGCCCCTTACTGAAGTCACCTACTTGGTTAAAACTGTCCTTCTGTGAAAAGTTGCACGTGCACTCTTGTCTGGAGACAGCTGCTTTTCAGTTACTTTCTCCTATGTTCTAAGGAAAGGTGTCTTTCATATTCTATCGATTAACTCCAGGATTATTCAATCCCAGGAAAAGCAACTAAAATGTCATAGATCATAAGACTTTCTAGTCAGGAATTTTCTTTAGACTTACAGAATCCAGAGCTTCTGAGGACCTCTGGGATAGCAGGAGCCTGCACACCAGAAATGCAGGCCACCCAGAGCTTGTGATGGCTCTGGTACCCCCCACTGATGTGCCTCCCCACAAATTCCTGTACCTTGTGCCTGAACCCCTTAAATCAAGAGTGCCTTGCCCTGGAGATGCCCCACCCCCATCCTAGCTTGCTGGCTTGTTGTCAGTTGTGCGCCCCCATCCTTCCATCCCAGCTGGCTTCCTCAGGCAGCACTGGTAGGGACCTTTCCCAGTTACACAGCCAGGACTCTATCTGGGGCAAACGGCCTTACTTACGTTATTTTTAGCCTTCAGTACTGCTTCTACACAAACTTACCTCTCACCTCTTAAACACATTTATAAACTATGCATTCTTTCTTACTGAAGATTGGCCCTGCATGCACCAAGCGTGTAGCTCTGCTTTCAGCCCTCTCTTTTAAAAATAAACAAGTTCTTGAGACATAATTGAGTCCATCTGGGCACAGTTCACTCCTATCATTTGCAGTTTTGGGCTTTGCCATCTTCTGCTACTCTCCGCAATGAAAGAAAGAGCCTTCGCTGTTTGCTACACCCCTGAGCAGGAGAGCACCTGCTGATGGCCCGATTGTGTTCTCTGTGACTGAGTGGAGCTTCCTGGCTTGAGTGAAAATTCCAGCCCCTTGGCAACTCACAGTAGTTCAGCAACTCCATGGGTGGAGTGGATTCTAATTAGGCAATGCTATGAAAATGCTATAGCATGCAACATTTATAAGATCCCAAACATTTCGGGTAATCTTTTCAATACCAACAACAAATCCAGACACTTTACTGCAATCCCAGAATTCCTGCTTTCTTCAGCATAGCCCATAAGTCCTTGCATGTAGTGGAGGAGTGAGGAGTCCACAGCGTGTGCTCATCCTCTGACCCCGTCCTAACCAAAGCAAGGAAGGCTGCCTGGGTCTGAGAAGGCTGCAGGTCCAAGACTGGGGGTGACCACAGGTTGCTCCGTGTGGTTGTCAGAAAGGTTGTAGAAAGGGGACACAAGTTTTTTCTCTAGGGGTCACAGGGTCTAAAGCAAGGGGTGCAGAAGCCGAGGAGTGAGAAGTCCATCAGGGGAGAGAGCAGATGCCCAAGATGAGGCTGGGGGTCAGCAGTACAGAGAGAGGGAGAGAGAGATTCTGGGTGGTGGGAGGGTCCAAGTCTTACCAGGATGCTGGGCTCTTCACCTGTAGAACACCTCCAGGAGGGCAGCTGTGGCCCATGGAAGGGCACAGTGGTAAGAACTCTCTGGAGGAAGTGAGTGGTAGATTGGGTTGCTCAATTCAGGGAGGAGCTCCCGAGGGGCTGGGTGCTTTGGAATCTTGCCAGGCAGTTCTTGGATAAACTGTTGTCTGTGGATACATAAAGCTTATGTTGGAGAGAAATGTGTGGGTTTTTCTAGCCCACTTTTTGATTCCACAGAGGAGGAAACTGAGACCCAGACAAATGAAGGACCACAGGGCTCTCTCTTGTCTTGCCAAGATGCCAACAACAGGACTGACCCCCAACTCCAGCGGCCTCCAGCTGTGGCACCTTGCCACTCACCTTACCATTCAGCTTTCCTGTGGTGGGGAGGGTGGTGACTGAGCAGAGATGGAGCCTACACACCTACAGAGTGGGGCATCTTCTTCCCTGGACCTAGTGGTTTTGTCTCCTGCTTCAGAATCTGCAGGACCTCACAGTCTCTTGCTCCATGCCTTGTCCCCTTGAGAGCCCTTGCTCCCAACACGGGGTCCCCTTCTTGCCCCTCTTGCTTTTCACCTCATGCCCACCTTTGGATTCTGGTGCTCTTTTATGGCTTACAGGTTTGACACTGTCTGCAAATCTCAGCTCTGTAGGAGCTCCTATCCCACCTTTGGAGCCAAGACCTGCTAATTTTGGGGAAAACCCCAAGAATACAACATTTGCTAAAAGTGAGAATCCCACCCAAGTGCAAACACATTTTTGAAAATGTGTTGAGTGATACTAAGAATGTATTTTGTCCCATTTGCTGCTGATGAGATAAAAGGATTAACACAGGTAGAGCTAGGAACAAGCTCTGGCTCCCTCCCAGTGCCCACCCCAAGGAACAATGCCCCTGCAGTCCCCTTACTTCCTTAATCCTGGGGCCCAGAAAGCCCTCAGTCCTGGAACAGACTCACTCATCTGGGCTGCCCCAAGGAAAGGGCCCTTCCAACTATTCAGCAGACGTTTCACAGGATGTGTCACCAATCTTTCCCTGGGGAAGAATGCAATGATGTTTGGTCAGTTGTTGCTAAAATCAGACTGAGGTTCATCACCTCTAGAGAGAGGCAAATGAGAGCAGAACTAGCTGAGCAACACTGGGCGAGCCACTTTCCCTTTCTGAATCTCAGTTTACTCTTCTGTGAAATGGGGCCATGAGCAGAATCCAACTCACTATGTTGTGGGAGTATGAAATGAGGGATTGCCTGGAGGTCACTTAGGATACACCCGAAGCACAGTGTTAACGTTTGTAGCTGATCTCTAGTGATGGGAACGTTTATTAACAGGTAACATGACAACTCTCTCCCACCACATCTCCAATCAAGGGAGAGCAGTGAGCCGACCTTCAAGGCTGTCTCCTATGTGTGTCTTCATGTGCTGCTTCGACTTGGAGAGCAGCGGTCACATTTGTTGCATTCTTGAGTATCTACTTGGTTCTACTTCACAAAGTGTTGTTCAGAATTTGTATTTTTTAATCTTCCTGACAACCCTGTGAGGTAGGCACTCTGAGATGACGCAATGAAGACTCAAGAGGTTAAGCAACTTACCTACAGTGACACAACAGAGCTGGGGCTTAAACAATTTTAAAAATAGTTTTTATCTGCTCCACCTAGGTAAATCATGCACTTTGTCCACAGTGACAAGGAGTGGAGCAGACTCAGATTTCTGAGCTCTGTTAGGTGCTTCTCTGTCCCAGAAATCCAAATGCTAGGATGGCGAAGAGGTTGGGGAAACTGTCCTACCTAGCCACATGTAGCTAGTTAAATGTAAATTGATTTAAAAACTAAATAAAACTTTAGCTCCTCTATCACAGCCACGTGTAGCTAGTGGCTTCTATATTGGCTTGTAAAGACACAGAACATGTTCTTTACTGCAGAAAGAGCTTTCAGACAGCACAATCTAGGCAAAGAGTGATTTTAGCTCCAAGCTTCTGCAAGATATTGCTCCAGTTTCCAGGGGCCTCGGGGAAGGCTGAAGTTGCCAATTCCCTTCCATCAGGGTTGTGTTCCCAGGTTGGCTTAACTACCTGCTATTGTTCTACGGTGCTGTTGCTGCTCTGACACCCTTGCTGTGACTCAAGGGTTGGTGACAATCACGGCTGTTGAACAGGAAGAAAGCGAGGCCACCTTGTTGGGAAGGCTTCTGACTTGGGCTGCCGAGGGGGAGTTGCGAGGGCTGTGCAGGGGTGGGGTCTCCCATAGCAGCTGGGAGCTCCGACCTGCCTGCGGGCTAAGGTCCCATGAGACGCTTCTGAGGTGAGCTCCGGAGGTGCCCACGCCCTCTTGCCTGACAGCGTCTGCAGAGCCTGCCAGTCTGGAGCTACAGGCTTGCTTCTCTGAGCACTGGGAGCCTGCCCCTCCTTTTAACAAAGAAGATGCAGGCCCCCGGGCCCCCTCCGACTGATTTGCCTAAAACTTACACGCGCAGGTTCTTCCTCTCTCGCAGGTTCAGCATGGGTTGCTTCTCCTGTCTCCTGGGGGCTCCTGCCCCTGGCTGGGAGGCCCACTGCCTCCTCATCCGTGGGGTCCTGCCTCCTGGCCCTTCTCTCCCTCAGCTGGTGCTTTCCCTTCTGCGCTGAGCTTGCTGGGTCTCCTCATGTTCTCCTTGCTCTGGCATCCATTCAGTTTCAATTCTGCTGTATCCCCTTGTCACAGGCAACCTTATCGAAAAAGCAGGCTAAGACAGCTCTGTCTCCACTTCCTGACCCCCTGCTCATTGCCCAGAAGAACACTGCCCCTGGCTTTCTTCCTACTGCCCCACAGAAATAGCTTTTGCCTCGGTTAACAATGATCACTGGGTTGCTAAACTTAGCAAATGTTTTTCTTCAACAAAACTGCTTTAATACTAAAAAAAAAAAAAAAATAAATAAAGCACACTAATGGGGATCGACGCATGCAACGTGAAGGTATGGAGGGGAGAACTTGAAATTCTCACTTCCCTTTTCTTTCTCTGTTCATTCATCTCTTTCCCCAAGCTGACTACCACACATAGTTTTTGTGTCCATCTTGCCTCACGCAAATACAAATGCATGTCCTTCTCCCTTCTTTCCTTAATGAAGAAGGTTGTCTACATTGTCTGAACGTCAGCAATGTGTCATGGGTCTATTCTACCTCAGTATGCATAGCCCTGTCACTCATTTGAATGACTACATGATAATCCCTTGTTTGGAAATATTCTTATTCATTTGATAATTACCTTATAGATAAATGTTTAGGTTCTTAGTACAAGCATCCTTGGATGTAAGTCTTTGGGAACTTGTATGAGTATTTTGCACCTTAAGTATAGTTTTGCTGAGTAATATTCATTGTGCGTGTAACTTTGATAAATACTACTGAATTGTCTTGCAAAAAACTACCATGCCAGTTTACTCCCCTATACCCTGTAGAGCACTATGGCCACTGTTCCATCAGATAACTGGAAATGACATCTCATCGTTTACTTTGTATGTTCCTGAGCTGCCGATGAGCTTGAGTGTGTTTCCCTATAGATCTTTGTACTTTTCTTTTGTTAATTATTTATTCTTACCTGCTTTCCTTTTGTGTGAGATTGTCATTATGTCATCAATTTGCAGGCTTTTTTTTTTTTTTTTTTGTATTTTTAGGGAAGGGTCTACAGGATGTTCAGGGTCTCACTACTAGATCAGACTCGCAGTGATCCACCTGTTTATGGCCTCCCAAGAGCTGGGATTACAGGCGCGCACCACCACGCCCAGTCTCAATTGGCGTCTCAGCCTGCCCCAGGGGTGGGGCAGAAGGGCAGGCCTGGGGATCTTACCTCTGCCCCCTGAGTGCAGGTACTTTTTATGTACTGTGGGAATAGTGTATTATGAATGTTTGTTGGTCACATTAAAGTCTTTTCTCTCATCCCGCTGCACCCTGGGTTATTGTTGCTGCTGAGGGTAGAACCAGAGTCTTGCACATGCTGGGCAAGCGCTCTACCCCTGAGCTGCACCCTCAGCTCCTGCTGTGTGCTTTACAACAGTGATGGCGAGCCTGCCAGAGGTTTTAGTAACACAGCAGCCCACTCTGGCACAAGTGCTGTATGCTCACCACCATTGCTTTAAACTTTATTTATGCTGGCAAAGTGACTGCTTTCATTTTCTCTTCCTTGATCTCCATACGGTGGCACCCGCTGACCCATTCTCTTCTTATTTCCCTTTGACTTCTCTCGGCCTCATTTGTTTCTTCTCAGTTCATTTCTGAAATATGAAAGCTCCTTGGTTTCTCCCTGGGTCCTCCCTCCCCGGGTGACTCTGCTTGCACTCACGCCCTCAGCCTGCAACCTGTGCAGGCAGTACCTCTCATACCTACTGCTCTCAAGTTCCGAACTCCCTGGTGAAATGACCTCCTGCAAACTCCCCAAGGCCCTGCAGATGCTGCAAACTCAGGACACAGAAAATAGGTCGCATTGTCTTTCCTGGTATTCGGACTTCCCTCTCATGTGTCTTCTCCTTCACTGCTCTGCCCAAGCAGTGAAGGCCCCCAAAGGTCTCTCACTTCACACCCCCCTTGCTCTTCCTCTCCTTAACCTCACTCTGGACTTGACAGCTTCTGTCACCTTCACTGACTGTGTGGGGCAACGTTCTATCCTCTATTATCTAAATTACAACAATCATGTGATGATTGTGGGTTCTGGATCCCAGCTGGCTGACTCACGGATTAGTTGCGAGCCTTACTGGTTGTGGACAAGTGATTTAATCTTGCTGTTTCTCAGTTTCACTATCTGTTGAATGGGCACACAATGGGAGCACCCAGCACAGAGGGCTGTCACAGGGATTGAAAGAAATGACTCTGCTTTTATAGAGCATGAGAACAATGTGTGGCGTTGCTGCCTGCTGCTGCTGTTTCCGCTGGCTCCCCTCTTCCCTCCCTCACTCTTCCTCCTCTCCTTCCTCCTCTAGACCCCTCTGCCCTAAGCCTTTCCCTCCCATATCTACCCTCTCCTTTGCTGCCAGACAAGCTTCCTTCTTTTCTTCCTAAAACCCTGTAAGGGCCTCTGCCGCCCTCAAATAAAGTTGAG